TACAGGGGGTCCCCAGCAAAAATAAGAAACTTTACGAGTCTGATTAAACCCGCTGGTTTTCCATCAGGCAGTCACGTGGCAGCTCCAACGACCCAGTGGCTGTGCTGGGTCAATGTTATCGAGCTCAGTCCAGCTCGGCAGAGGGTAAACGAGCAGAGGCGACGTCGTGCTCTGCTTAAGAGGTGTTATTTTCCCGCTTCAGAAGAAGCGTCCGTGTTTTTACGCTTTCTCCGAGACATGTCACGTCGCTAAGTTGTTAACGCCGCGCGATAACACGTCAATAGTGCAACGTAGCCTGCTGGAGGTTTTAAGGGTTCAGATGAAAACACCCGACCTCTCAGGCTGCTCACACATCGATCTTAAGTCGTTGCTGTTGCGCTCACGCCATAATACAGTATTAGATGCGGTTAAAGTCAGACATGAAAAAATAAATAAATTTTACATGAATAAGTGATGCTTAGCCTGGTGGGGGGAGGAAAATCTGGCCTAATAAGCACTGGAGGAAACCCTGTCAAGATCGTCAACACTCGTTTATCTTAATGCTGTTGAAACATGTAAACCAAAAAGCATTATATCCACTGCTACCTTTCTAATTTTAAACTCAGTAACTTATGCTGTAACTTCACCCTGCCCTGCCTGCTCCTCCTTGCTGCCCGCCAGTTGTGATCACAAGCAACAACATAGTAGTTCCCGCTGCTTCTTCGGGAAACGGCGCCAACAAAAACAAAAAAACTTGGGATCTTGTAGGCGTGGCGGTGGGATTTCAGCCGTGGCGGGCCGCCACGGCTGTGCCTATGTAAGGGAAACCCTGAGAGACCTGATCCTTAGGCCACTAAAACAAATCCCTTCAATACCACATATCATGTAAAATATGATGTTATGTTTGGTGAAAAACTGAAACTTTTAGATAGGGATGTAAGAAAATGTTGATATGGCAATTTATCGTGAACTTTTTTCAGCAATATTATTTCAATATTCAAAAGCTGTGTATTGAAAATATCGATATCGCTATATATCGTGATAATTTTCATAGCTATATTATATCGATATTAAAAAGCTGTGTATCTAATTTTTGGAAGAATTTATATGCAAACATTTGTGTATTTTCTTTTCTTTTGGTGAAATTCAAACGCCGGCCACTAGTTGACAGCAGTGTGCAACGGGTTTCGTTTCCATCATTGAAATGAAAATCCCTCTGTTATGGTTCAGAGACCTCATGTTGCGCATGAGTTTGGACTGTTTATTGAATTCTTCTATATTAAATTCAGTCTAAAAAAAACACAAAACACTTGTCTGACTGAATGTTTTGCAATATATCGTGATATATTGTATTGTCTCTCCTGTATCGTGAGACGTATCGTATCGCCATTAATTCACCAATACACATCCCTACTTTTAGATGACCTGAGATGCATTGATTTTCTTCATTTTTTTGTTGCTTTTATTTTTAAAATTGAAAAAGAAACTTATTGTCTAAACTGCCACTAATCTTCCAAAATGCTGTGGCTCCAAAATGTAGAGAGACACATTACGGGAATGAACATTGCTTTTTAAACAGATTTGCCATGGTTTTTAAATTGAGTTGAAGAAAGCTGCACTAAAAGAGTCATGGTTTAGTAGTTTTTCTGTGGAGGGGAGAAAACATTGCTTTTGTTTTAAGGTTTAAAAGGATTCCATTAAAGGCTTCCCACGTCTAAAAAAAAAGTCTGTCTGAAATGAGGTTTTAGTTTGTGTGTGTGTGTTTCTCTAATTATTGGTCTCAGGTCTGAGGACTGCCTCTTTTAGAGCTGAGAGGTATTGACTAAATATCGTGTGAATTATTAACAAGTTTGTGTTGTGTTGCATAACCGAGCTGCTTAGTGGAGTTCAGTTCAATGTGGAGTTTGCATGTTTCCTAACATTTCCCCCTGTAGTCTGAAAGAATGGCCCATCTATTTTTGCACATCCTAATATTTCACTTTGAGAAGTGTTGTTTGATCCTTTGAGCTAAAAGCAGACCCTTGGAGTGCTCTGATGGTGTGGGTTTAGTATTTTGACCATGTTTGCACACTCAGTGGGACAGTGGAATTAAACAGCTACTGAACACCTTTTAGTTTGACAGAGTTAGATCATGTTGAAAGGGTTTTTTATCTTTCTAAGCACGTGAACCTATCAGTCCCCTCTGACATGTAAAACGTGAGCATTTTGGGCTACTTAGGGGGTCATGCACAGAAAACAGCACACACCAGCTTTTTGTGTGTGCTTTTGAAGAAATGGAAATAATTTAGTTTTTCTAAAAAAAAATGTAAAGGCCCAGTGTCTGAAAACTCTTTTGCACCACACAGTTGAAAGATGGTACTGCAGCTACAGTAGCCCACAGGCATCAAAAAGGCAATCTGTCATGTGCACGGCTGCAGGAGAGAGGGAGATACTGTAGCACTGACAGTTATACTTAATATTACACACTGCACATAAAGAGTTTTTTTTTCAAATGAGCTTTATTTTACTTTTGTTCCTGACACTTTCCACATATTATAAAAATCTCTTGATATGTTTTTGTGAATTCTCATAACTCATCAATATTCTGGATATTATAAAGTAAAGTAAATAAGTTGACTAATCACAAAATGTAAGCATGATTAAAATACACAATAAACAAAAGAAAAAGAAGATATATTGAAAACAAAAAAGATCATATAAACAAACAAAAAAACAACAATTCAACCCAACACTAATCTAATCAAATGTGATAATTAGCTTCACAAAGTGTTTAATCTGCATAATGTGGCTTCATTTTTTCAGTTTTCATCCACCAATGAGCTTAACTTTTAAAGTATAGCTTTTCCCAGTAAAGTAGACTGCATTATATCCTCATAAGTGAAGAGTTTAGGTGATTATCTTCAGACGCATAGAACCACTAAAGCACTCTGTGCTATTGTAGCAGTAAAACATCCTGCAAATGCAGCACTTCATGCTGAAGTAGATCTTAACTGCATTATAATATAAAGGTTGCCCTTTTCTAGCTTCTCTATACTAAATGGTTTCATTGTGTGGAAGTGGGTGTTATGGTGCAGGATATATGGTAGTCCCTCATGTTTCACTCTGCTGTAGACTCCAGAAAGAGTTCTGATTCCTGACTCAGCCTTTCTAACTCCCACAGGGAGGCAAACTAAACTCACAAGCAGCATCTTCTATCAGGGGTCCAAGTTTCCGATAATGGACTCCTGGATGCTCCTCCTTCTCTAACATCCCAGTCACTGATTGTGATCCTTAAACATTTCTACAAACTCAGCATCTTGATAAGTTAGATTTAAACAACAAAGATGTTAATATCATCCATCCATTTTCCTCCACTTATCCGGGGTCGTGCCGAGGAGGCAGCAGCCAAATCCAGGAGGCTCCGACTTCCCTCTCCTCAGCCACTTGGACCAGCTCCTCCAGAATAATCCCAAGGGGTTCCCTAGACAGCTGAGAGACATCCTATAATATGTATCTTCAGGCAGTCCTAAATGCTCGCCTTCTGATGAGCAAAGGGAAATTCGAACATGTCTCTCCTGTTTTGCCCTCTCTCCACTGGATTCTAGTTCAAATTCAGATAGATTTTAATTGACTGACTTTTTGTTTTTAAACAGTCTGGCTCCATGCTATTTGACCCCAATCAATAATAACCAGCAACAGGCCTCAGGTCATCTGCTTAAAATGCTTTTGAAGCTCCTAGATCAAACATAAATGTTGGGGGAGCGAGTTTTTTGCAGTATGTGCCCCTAAACATTCAGGATCAGAACTGCCTCAGATTGAGGCCCTGTCCACACGTAGCCGGGGATCTGCCAAAACGTAGATATTTTTCTCCGTTTTGGCCTGTCATCCACACGAAAATGGAGTTTTTTCACACGAAAACGGATCTTTTTAAAAACTCCGGCCAAAGTGAAGAGCTGCGTTTTCTCCGTTTTGGGTGTCTGCGTGTGGTCAGACAAAACCGGAGTTTTAAGGTCCGCAACGTCACTTTCCGCGACAAAAAAATGCTGACATCACGTGTGCAACCTGTGTTTACACTAGCCGACCTCATGGAAGCCCTCAGAGCTGCGCTCTGTCACTACCCGATCCATCAATTGTCCAAGCGCTTTTTGCTTGTTTGTTTTTGCAAGTGGAATTACTGCTCCTTGCGGAAGACCACAGACGAAGGACGAGGTTAAGAACGGGGGAAGTACTGCCGCCTACAGGTCTGGCATGTCCTTAACAACGTATTTATCCAGTACGCGTGGACAGAGTTTGTTTTTAAAACGCGGTGGTGTGGATGCAAGTTTTTGGAGGGGTGGATATTCGTTTTCAAAAAACCCCGGCTACGTGTGGACTAGGCCTAAGTCGTGTCTAAAAAGAAGAAGAAGAAGAAAATATCATTTCTATAGCGCCTCTCAAGATAAAAATCACGAGGCGCTTATAAAATCACGAGGCGCTTAAAACAGACTTCTGTTCTTTGGCTTTTAGAGTGTGACTGTCTCTGTATTTTTATATTTTTAAATCCTTTTTTAATTTGTATTCTTTTCTATATTTATTCCTGTATATTCTTTTTTATCATTTACTCGACTGCTGTGACTAATTTATTTCCTGCTTTATCCTAGCCAGTTTAATGTGTTTTTATCTCTGTAAAGCACTTTGGTCAACAAGTAGTTGTTTTAAAGTACTACAGTAATAAACGTTGATTTGATTTCAGCCGTACAGACAGACGGTTTCCACCCAACAGCAACAAGAATCTGCTGGAGTGTTTGCTTACTTAATTTGGTCCTGACTGCATCTGGCTAGCTAAAAGCTTGACCATTAAGATTCTCTTCTGTGTTTAATTCTTCTATAGCGCCGGTGCTCTTGGGCATAATGACAGGCTGCAGACTGCCTACTCCACAGTAAATGTTTACCGCTGTCTGAGCTACCCTGAGAATGAACAAGCAGCCCCTCTGTGATCTTTTTTAATTAAACTAATGCCACAGTTACTAAACCTTTGACTCCCTGTGTTCTCCATCCTGCAGATTTATAATGAGAAGAAGAGCCAGTTTGAAATCAAGAGAAACAACCCCAAGGACTTGGTAGAGAGAGTGGCGAGGGACATCTCCAAGCTGCTAAGCAGCAAGAGGAAAGCCCTGGAGGTAAGGGATACCTGGCAAACAGTAACACCTGTCTGCAAACACACGCTGCGCCTCACTGACCACACACACACACACACACACAAACACACACACACACACACACACACACACACACACGCACGCACGCACGCACACACACACACACACACACACACACACACACACACAGAGAGAGAGATAAACATGACAGATAAAGTGCTTCTTATCTCTGGGTTTTGGTTGACTTGCTTCCTCCAGTAAGAGCAGTGACCCTGTCGGCGGGCTACATGGGGGTCGGTGTGTAATTAGGCTTTGCTCCCCGTGTCATGATTTAGCATAAAGCCGCTCTATCAGGCTCAGCAGACATTAAGGAAGAGGTCCGTCCGTCGCTTACAACAAATGCCTTTCATTAAAAATTCAGTATTTTGATGTCATTTTTTTCTGTAATTGATACTATAATAATAATTTAAAAAAGATATTACATGTTATCACTTCTTATAATCCCATCAGTCTGACTGGATATAAAATGATAATATATAAAGAAATAAATGGCTTTTATTTAAAAGAATAAAGGAAAACAAAACACGAAATAGCTTTTAATTGATGATATTTCTTACTTATCATAGATCCACCAGGTTAGTAAACTTAATGTCTTTACACCGGTTTGGCGAACCTTTTCATTTCTTCACTTTGAGCTTCTATTGAGGGAACAATAATTAGCATCTGTAATACAGTAAAAGCTAATTATAATCTGTCAACAACTGAGACAATTATCATTTAGTTTCCCAGCATTAGTTTGGTTATTTTTTCACTCATTTTAATATTTGAGGTGTGTGTTCTGTTTATACAGCCTGTGGAGAGGTTATCATTTCAGTGTCCTGTGTTTTGGTATAAAATTATTACCACAGTTGTGCTCAGACAGCCCTGTGATTAGTTAAAAATGTATATTGCTCTCCCAGAGGGAAACCTCTAACCTCCTGGAGGAGAGGTAGGATGGGGATGGAGAAGCAGGAAAGAGGAGTGTTATGAAGGGAAATGAGAAAAGTGTAAACAATTGATTTTTAATTTTAAGAAGTCACAGAACATTGTAATTAGATGCTCATTATCAAAAGGTAAGTATTTTTTAACCCTCTTAGGCTCAAATTACGTTTTGATAAAAGGACGAACAACTAAGTCCTTCAAGGGTACGTCTGAATTAAAAAATGCTCATGAAATACGTATGTGGAATAACCAGGTAGGTTTTAACTGTTGCAAATCTGCAACACCTGCCTCCAGAGGGTTAAATGGCCTAAAATTATATTTTAAGAGCATATAAGTCCCAGATAGGCTTGCTTTTTAGTCGTTTATTTTCGCTGCAATGTAGAGAATGATGTTTAGAGTTTTTATATCTACTAGATGTACCAACACAGACTCGTTTAAGCTCTCTAATAGGAGAGCTGTAGAGTTCAAAATCAGAGCTACATACGCTTAAAGTGCATTTATGTCACAAAAACAACAAAAATAGCAATGTACTATACTTTGAGTCCTTGAGCATCTGAGCTCAAATGTATCTTTACTAATAAGCTGAAACAGTAAGAGTGCAGAGAAAGATGGACATAGTGCTCGTTTTTGAGAAAAAAAGCCTTGATATCCTTCTGAAGTTTCAGTCTGAGCTTATGTGGGCTGGAAGTCCTGCTTACATACCGTACCTGCATGCAATAATGGTGATTTTAAAACATCAGAAGTCGTAAAAACCTCATCCACCAGGCAACTCATGGGTAAGTAAGACTCCACCCAGAGTGTGATTTGCCCTTTAAAGGTGCAATATGTAAGAAAAAATCCTGAGGTCAAATTTGGTTACTAGAGCCCATTTTTCTGAGCAAAAACTTACTTTCTCACTGCCGACTTGTAAGTTTCACAGCTGTTGCCAGTTACGGATCAGCACCAAAGATTCTAGATGGGAAGCAAAGACGAGTCATTCACATTAGGTTGATACCTAGGTAAATACCAGAGGTGTGACCAAGTCATTGCTTTGTCAGTCACAAGTCACAAGTCTTTCCAGTCAAGTCTTGAGTCAAGTCCAAATCAAAGTCAATCAAGTCCAAGTCGAGTCCAAATGCAATGATGTGGAAGTCCAAGTCAAGTCCAAGTCCTTAACTTTGAATTTTTAAGTCATAATCAAATCATTTATCCAACTTCAATTTAATGATAATGATAATAAGTAAATTCCAGTAATAAAGCTTCTTAAAGCTTCATTTATTTGCTCAAACAAGCAGGAAGTGCAACTGAAGTTGATTATAAACAAAGTGCTGCTCCATTTAGCAGAACAAGATCAAACCCAGAACGAATAATGATTTATGATTTTTGTCCATGTCGTGCAACTTTTGTGCTAAAATATCAAATATGCTCAAGTCATCATCAAGGCAACAGATGCAAGTCGATTCAAGTCACAAGTCATTGGTGTCCAAGTCCGAGTCAAGTTGTAAGTCTTTTTAGATTTTATCAAGTCAAGTCAGAAGTCATTAAAATAATGACTTGAGTCTGATTCGAGTCCAAGTCATGTGACTCAAGTCCACACCTCTGGTAAATACATTGTCATATCTGGTGATAGCACTTGAAAGGAGCACTTACTACATTTACAACAGTGATATGCCAGCGTTGGAGGAAGCATGGTTGTTTGCTCTCTTACTGTTGTAGTTCAGAATGACTCATTAAAGGAAGTAAAACACTTCACTGATTATTCACTTCACACAAACATTTCACTGTAATACCAAGTTGCTGGTTATTGAAAAGTAGTTTAAGATATTTTTAGTGCCGATTATTTACAACAAACTCACCGTTAGCAGTGTTAGCCCAACATTAACCTCTAACCTTCACCCAATAGATTTTTTTAAAAGTGGCTTGGCTTCTTAGGTTTACAAGAAATAACTTCTGGGTCACTCCTATTTACTGGCTTTGATTCTTTGAACAACTCTGAAGCTTTTTTCCAGCTGGTGTCAAACTACAAATGCCGGCGCTGCAGCGTTAGCTCGGAGCAGACTCGACAACACCACAAGGTCAAAGATTGTAAACACTGTGTCCCTTTTATTTTTTTGAAAGGAGAATAATCCCCCAGCATGATTGAAACATTAGCCTCATTTGTAATAATTTCACTGAAGAATGTTTAGATCTTGCTCTTTTAACCACCTTATGTGAACTGGTTCCACTAGTAGCTTAAAGGCAAAGAGTAATACATTTTTATGTATATATGTTTTGCTATGATAAAAGTAAATGTATTTTACCATTTACATTTAAGCAACTAGGTTTAGTGGAACCAGTTGATATAACTTGGTTAAGTAAATTCAACATTTCATTCCTTAGACTGTACTTCATTGTTTTCCACTTATCCAAGTCCTGGTTGGGGAAACAGCCCATATCCTCTAATGTCAACCAAATGAATAAAGACATATCACTACTGTGATTGAACTCAGAAATATGCAGTATAAAGAAATGAAGAAGAAGCACAAGCTAGAATCAGGATGATGCTTAAAGTTGGGCGGTTTGTTACAATAAAAAAGCTGTTGTAGTGGAAATGACAGGACACACTGTGGAAGAACAGCCTGAGACACAGTTGAATGGATATTGTAGGAAGCTTGTGATTCATGACAATGATGGGAATATTGCAACACCTTCCTTCTTCTGTACAGCTTTGTTCGGCTGGATGGTCCCCTGCATCAAGCCCTGATGGGCCCTGCATGTTGGTAGAATAAAGATAATATTGCAGGGGTGGATGTGACTTTTCTAACATTACTGTGTTATTATAACGCTTTTGTTTGAGCAGTTATCTGTTAATTTCATAATAGCAATGTTTAACCTATGAACAAATATCAGAAAACCCCTAAAATGCAATAAATTACATGCAATGTAACACCACACTCCCTTCTAGGTGGCCAATTATACAAGTTAATACCACCACACCATATCTTCTTCTGAACTCATCGCTTATATTCATGTTCCAGTTTCATCTGTATGTGTTTGAGCTCTAGGGAGAACTTTATCCATATGGTACTTTTAAGAATAGAGGTGACTTCCACCTTCTTTCTTTTTGGTTCTGCTCAAGTCTGGTCACCCAGAGCTGAGCACTGATATTTTTGATAACATTTTAATCCCTAAAAAGAAGCAGGGGTGTGTATCTTATAGGAGCATAAGGTCTTGCGGGATAAAATGAGGCAGACTCACAGTATGGCTCAGAAGTCTCTGAAAGGCATAGTTAATTCTACTGCTTGAATCCTTAAAGTGAAGAAAGTGTTACTGGGCATCTCTTGTGGCCAAATGTAGGATTGGACTTGGAGTGGCAGCGACCTTCCACCTCAATTTTTTCTAAACATTTTTTTTCTTCACTTCTTTTGCTTCTTTGAGTCTACTCGAACACACACACACACACACACACACACACACACACACACACACACACACACACACACACACGCACGTGTGTATGCATATGTAAACGCATATATGTACGTATGTGCATGTAACACAACACCCACACTGTTACCTCCACTGGTCACACTGTCATCTCACATCCTGCCTGAGAGTTTCAGACTCAGGAGGGAGGAAATGAGGTGAAAAAGGGAAGGAGAGGGTCTGGAATGAGAATGTCTCCCTGGGGCGTGGAAAAAAATCAAGAAAATGATGTTCAGAACATTCATAGATTTAAAAACGAGCAGCAAGCGGGGTGGGGGTGGGGAGGTGTAAAGGTAGGGAAAAAAGAAATGGAAGAAAGAATATACATCCTGCCGTGTGTTAAAATGAACATGAAAATTCAAACAAGGTCTAATTAATCATTTAAAACCTCAAAAAGAAACACGCCACAAGCCAATTTATTTCATTTAAGCAGCTTTTGATTTTTATTTATTTCCACTAAAAGTGACTATTCAGGATAAATTCATGTGGACTTATTATTCATGCAGGTAGGAGAGTGAAAGTCATGTCTTAATGCAGTCTGCAGATAAGAATGTCTCAAACTCTGATCTGCTGGAGAAAGACAGTGTTTTATATTC